ATTTTGAAGTTACAGATTTTCAACTTTAGTATTGAGATATGAATTAAGAATTGCTTGGCATAATAAAAATGATTTCCAAATTCTAAAATAAAAATAGATTATATTATTTATTGCTATTTAATTCAATCCGATTAGACAAATTTCTAAAACTAGTAATCTGAAGATTAAAAAGATTTGGAAAGTCTTAGGTCATCAGTGGTGAACTTTCTTAATGATTTCGCAAAATCCTCACTAATTACATAAATTCGATCTCTATGTCGCACATTTGAAGAAATAGCGCTGAATTATTACATTGTCAATACATAAAGGGTACTATATGTCTTATTTTCGAAATTTGGAAAATTCGGTGAATAGGTTAAAAAGAAGCAATAAAAAATGAAATATATATTCTCAAATAGAAATAATCTTGATTATATCATTCAAATATTATTCATTCTTTTAAACTATGTTTATTAAGCTTCACCGAACTTTTTTTTACAATTTTTTCCTTCCCTTGCAACCCTTCAATTTGCACCAAATAGTTTAATATATCTGTTTGATGACCAGATAGACATTATGGAAATAAAACTAGAATTTTTTAAAGGTTTTATTTTAAATATCTATCAAAACTATGTTGTTGTTTTTAAATGGTTTCTATTGTTGCTCGAAGTGGGTGGGCGTTCATTGTTTATCCACTGGCCGTCCAGGATGGGTAGCATTGTGAAACGTTTCTTGAGTGGCTGTGATGACATGGCTATGAGGATAGTATGGGGGTGGAGACGTCCATCGAAGGAGAATGGGGCAGTTCTATGGCCAGTCTGAGGCAGCGATCTGGGGCTAGGGCCGATCTGGAGAGGCTGGGCAATTTCCCACAGAGGAGGGGCGGCGATGGCGATGGTAGGTGGAGCCTAGCGCAATGAGGAATGACGACTCCTGGACCAGGTGACGGCGTCTGCGAGGGACCACGGACGGCGATGATGGTCAGGGGGCGGGGCCGTCCGTGGAACTCCTGGGGTGGCGGCCCGGGAGTCTCCTGTACATGAATAATAAATTAGGTCTCGGGTCATACTTCCATATATAAATAATCCTAATTTAGCGTAATTTGTTTACAACCTATAACCAGAGAGGTAAATTTAGTTTTTTAAAATCCAGTTTAGGTCAGGTTTAGTTTAAGATGAGTAAACATGGTTCTATCCCTGAAAACTGGCAAACAAGAATCAACTCAACCTACCTCGCTGGTCACCTGGTCCTTTAGTCCTCCTCCTCCTCATCATCATCCTGAAGACGCTGGTCCTTCTTGTACTGCTTGGCGCACCACTCTAGGGTTTTCCTTAATTCGGCCAGGTCCTTGTCGGCCTCTACGACTTCCTGGAGCTTCTTCGCTACAGCAGAGAGGAGAGCCTTGGTCTTGTATGGAGGATCCACCTTCCACCGTTGCCAGAATCTTCTATGCGGCGTCGAGGGGCGGGTTGGCGGTGTGGGATTTTGCCTCTCGGGGAAGAAGAGGCCGAGAAAGGCTTTCTGGCAGGTTTTTTCCAACGATGGAAGATGGCGGTTCTTTGGCCGAAAAGGTTCTGACCCGAAACTCCTCTGCGAAGCGGATTTTAGGGGAGCGGTGCTCTTGCTCCCCCCGCCTTTTTTTTTATCTTTTAGGAGCTTCAACTCCTCTGCAAAATACTTTCTTATGATATCGAGGGGGCCGCTTGCTTTCTTCATCTTGATTATTTCTCCTCTTAGCGTTGTAGAAACAAATCTTGTAATGACTTTCCAATCTAACTATTGTTGGGGTCTCTCTTGATAGAGGTTAAAGTAATGAGGCCTCAGAATAAATAGAGAGTTCATAGAATTGACACTACCCGCATTTACCAAAATAGATGAGTTTTATTATTAATTATATTAGAATACCTAATATATTTCAGAAACACAACGAAATTGTTTCTCTTGGTTCTTAATAAAAATAATGTACTTGTAGGATCCTGTCGACTCTCTGTAGGATCGGGGTGTATCCTGTCGACTATCTGTAACAATCGGGGTGTATCCTGTCGAATTGGGGTTGTGGTTTCGACTTGGCGTGTTGACTTACTGTGTGATTGCTATGGACTCACTATAGAATCCTGTGAGACTCTCTGTAGCAATCCTGTCGACTCTCTGTAGGATTGTGTTGAATCCTGTTAATCCTGCCGACTCTCTGTAGGATTGGGGTGTATCCTGTCGACTCTCTGTAGGTTCGGTGTGTACTCTCTGTCGAATGGGTTGAATCCTGGTGAATTGTGTGGTTGGGTGGATTTGATTGGATTGGTGATTGATGGCGCAGTCTTGGTCGAATGGTGGTTTTCCACACGGGAAGAACGAGCACACCTGGATGGGTTAGAAAATAGACCTTGCGAAAGGGAGAGTGATGTGACTGACTGGAGGTATTTGGCTTTCACATGATGGAGCAGACACTATCTTGGTTGGAGCCTAT